GCCTGGATAGATGGACTATTTCTTCTGTTGCCTTATGTGTCCTCCTGTTGCCTCTGTGCCTGCACCTGCCACCCTGCCAAGGATTTCCTGTACATCTTCCTCATAGTCCATGAAATTTTTAATAGACTGGATCAGTTCTGTCATGAGCTAACGAGTGTTTTCTTCCTGCCAGCCAACTTTCGAGAGCACTGAATTCTATAGCTTTCATCAGAAGCTGTCACATGCACAAGGGGTCAGCAGTACACTTTGTTGAATGGCCACTTTTGCAAAAAGTCTAAATCTGTTTCCTTAACCTATTGTTTTTACTAGGCTGATTGTCAGTTATCCGTGCTTTATCCAGGCTTAGGACCGGGCAATTGTATTTTGTCAGAGCATGCTGACAGGACAGTTCCCTTGTTTTTTTACTATGCTAATTAGTCAGTCTGTATGGTGTGCTTATATAGTACTTACAGTGCAAATGCAGCAGGGCAAGGACTACCTTTTTGTTCGATATTTGTAGAGATAATTTCATCTGTTTCCCAGTCCACAGCTGTACTGTTTTATGCTAATATCAATAATACATATTATTATACTGGAATCAAAGAAAACGTCTTGCGGTTTCACCAGCAATTATCTTGGTTGATCTTAAGAGAGTAAGAAATGTATTTTCCAGAGTTAAAAATGGAACTCTAGTGCTAGAGCTACAAAGTCAAAATCTGGAGTTAAGAGCCATAAAAGACTCTCATGATCTTTGAAACAAATATGAAAGACCATCTGTCAATCTTTAAGAACATGCTGAAGGATGAAACAACATGAAAACAAGTCTGCATCATGGTAGATATTGAGTGAGTGCGTGATAAAAGAACATACCCTGAAGAACAAGACATTTACACAGAGAGGAAGACAAGGGTAAATATGCTCAGATTCTCAATACCTGGCTTTTAGAGTTTGGCTTCTGGAGCAAAATCTTCAAGCTGTTTTAGGTAGCCCAGGTCTCTCTTTACAGTGCCCGAGAGACAAATTTATCTCAAGGAAAAGGATTCTCAAGTGCCAACAAATGGAGCGGGAAGGCACCAGAGAGTGTCAATAAGGGCTCTCACTCTAGAGTTGAGATGGTCATTTCTGCTTGGGATTCACAGTCTAGACACTTTTTCCTGTGCTTGGTGCCTGAACTATTTTCATGTAGTTCATGCCTGAATTATTTCCAAGGCTGAAGAGAGATCGCTCTTTTCTTTTAGAGAGACTTGGAAATGGAAGAAACTCTTTTATACAGCAGCTACATTGTAATAGACCATTCAACCATGATACAGTAAACCTAAGCTTCTGACCCTTTCTCTGGGCATACATTTCTATAGCCCTCTGACTTTCCCAGCATAGCAAAGGCAAGGAAACACAGAGAATCAGGAGGAGCTACTGCTACGAAGATAGGAAAAGCAAATCCAGAGATAACTAGACAGAAGTAACACTCTCTGTTTTGCTGGAACTCGGCTCGTGCTTCCTGACTGGCAAGGGGATGTGTACAGGGCTGGTGCAAGTCTGCTCAGACTGCTGAGACTGAAGCCTGCTTACACTTCAGATTCACTAGCACTGCTTACGTTTACTTAGTATTTAGCACTGCTTACGTTTACTTAGAAAACCATGGCCACTTGTTTTTCCTCCGTGGACCACTCCATGGCTTTGTGTGGTAAGCAGGAGGGGTCTCTAGACTGGTAAGCTCACGAGATGCAGCAAAGGCGGGTCACAGAAGTACCAGTGACTGGGAATCAGAATGACAAATGCTTTTCTTGGCAGGAAACCTGGTTTACATCTACGTGAATTTTAGCCTGAATTTCTTCGTGGGTCTAACCCAAGATCACACAAAAAAGTTGCGGCAGAAGAGAACCAAACCCTTAAGCACCAGGACAGTGCCTAAAGAAAGACTGCAGTGGTTTTGTGTTTGTTTTAGGCAAACCTTCTCTTCATTCAACACAGGCACATGGATAATACATGAGAACCAGAAAGTAACACCAACCTGATTGCTCTAAGGAAAGGACCACATAGAGGGAAAAAAACAAAGGAAAATTTGAATTCCTTTCAGCCTTATTAGTCTAAAATGTGAACTGGAACCAAATCAGGGGATATTTAAAATATACATGCTATCTAAAATAAAATATAAAGTGCCACATTCTTCCCTCTGAGACGCCAGGGAATTGTACTGTACTGCCAGGGAACTGTGTATTGAGTAATAGTGGAATTACTCAAGAGAGGAATTAGTCTTTTGGAAAGGATTCACCAACTGCTGCCATTGTTTAGTATTTTCCTTGTCACAGGATACAAAGTAAGCATCTGTGGAACATAGGAAATATCCTGCAGTATTTCAGCATTAAAAATATCAGTGTTCTAAAGGATCTTGGCATTTCTGAGAGGAACTGACTGAAGCATAATTTTATTTCAAATGAAATCTCTATCATTTGTGAAGGATGAGCTGCTAAATAAAGGTAATTTATTTTTTCAGATTCGCAGCCAAACAGAACAGTTCTTACCCAATGCCATTAGTGATGCTATTCCCCCCCAAAAAGCACTCCTATTTCTAAAATCACTTGTTTAGACTTTAGTCCTTATCATTTTCTGTTTATTTTTTATGCTTTTGATGTACTATTCAATCTTTATTCCTTGCAACAAATGTACGTTGCAACACTGCTGTAAAAAATACCTGGAATGGTATTTTTTTTTTTTGAATACTGACTATTTATTAGCAAGTACTTAACTTATTCCTGCTGTACTCAAATTCAACAAGTGATTAATATTAAAGTGTGTGCTACTGAGCTCTCTCTGCTCCAATAGTCTGTGTGCTAGTGGGCATTCTCTGTGGATCACGAGGAGGTTCGGTCACTGGACAGCAGAATGGAGGCATGAGTGTGTAAATTGGTACAATGGCATTCAATCCGTTGCAATTTCTATGCCAAAGACCCAGTGAGAAATTTCCTTGAAACTCTCTCAGGTAAAATAAGCGTTCCCTGACAAAACCTGAAAGGGATCAGGCTGCTGGAGTGCTCTGCCAGCTGCTGAACCTCTTGTTAGGGGTGTTTGTTCTGCACAAATGCATCTTGCATCCCCGGACAGAATTTTCTTGCGTAGCTCAGCTCTGTCTAGATGAGAGTAAACTGGGTGCTTTTAAAACAGTGTATATTTTTAAATCCTGGTGCAGACAGGCAGAGCTGAATTTTAGTACATAATAACTAGGTAAGATGAATGGTAATCCACATGGAAAACTTCCACTAAGGATTCCGCTGTATAAAATTCATCACAATATTGAAACTCCATTCCTTTGCCTAGTTTCATGTTCTGTCATAAATCAGCATTCATTCATTAGTGTTTGCTAAACATTGCACCTTTTGTCATAAACCTTAGCTCAAGTTTATATGTATGCCAGTAGATTTATATTTGTATAAATTCAATCTGGCCAAGACATTTGTTGCTCTTTGTTTGAAAACACAGATTCCAGCTTTCACGCAGAGGTTTTACCAGAATTAGTCTGAAGCCAGGCTCAGAGAGAATCTCAGGGCCTGGCAGCCCCTTTGAAACAAGGGTTTAAAAAATGGTTTGCACAAAGTCCCAGGAACAGGAACTGTAATATTTTACCTCTTTTTACCATGTTGCTGGGATGGGGCTGAAACCAGAGTCTTGGACCCAACTGTCCCAAACCTTGGAGAAGGTCAGATTCATTAAAAATTTAATGTATTGATCCAAACCAAAATCTGACCACTAATAGCTGTTTTTGACAAAACGAATCTCTCAAAAAATGCTGTTTTGTTGGATATTTTGCAAGAGTGTTTTGATTTCAAGGAATTTTTAAAGGAGAAAGAAAGTGAGCGCAGTATTTCAATACCATCAAAAAGATTTTCTTTGATATTTTTTTCAAAGTACTTACATTTCATTATTTCATGATTCATTACATTAGTATTCTATAACTTCTATACTATAATAGAGTTACAGCAACATATTCTGGCATTAACAAAATACTTAGGTAAAATTTTGACCTTAACACTGCTGCAATAAAGGGAAAACAGATGTACATATCTAAGAAAAATGAGATAAAGATGATTTCAACATAGGCCTGCAATTCAATTTATTCAGATGAAGCACGACACGGGCACAGAGCTCCACTGGCTTCAGTGGAGATTATTAGGGCTGATGTCGCATGGGATTATGCTGCACATTTGATTAAATAAGCTTACCGATGTTCAAAGGAGGACACAGACATGTTCACACCTCACCTGGGAAACTGCGGGCTTCAGTCTGACTTCTCAGCAGGTAGCTGTTATCTTTCAACTGCTCTGTCACCGACAACCTAAACCACAGATGATTTAAGCTAACAGGTTTGACTTTAACTGTAGCAGAGAAGAAGTGCTTTACACGGTTAGAACCGGTCTCTTCCCACACTGGACGCAGGCTGGGCCGTCCTCTCTTGTCTAGTCTGCGTCTACATAAGGGATGTGTGCCTCTGATCACACCGGCTCAGTCACCACTGACAGAGCAGAAGAAAGGAGAAACTACCAAAGCGAGGCACTAGCCTTGGCGGGGACATACCAACTAGCACCGCTGTCTGCCATAGATGTTCAGACAGCATCAGCGCCCGAGCTGCAGCCCGACCCAGGACGTTGGCTGTCCTCCTCCATTAGGGCAGCGAGGGGACCTCGACACATTCAGCAGAGAAGCACGGGACAGTAACAGCGTGGACAACAGAGGACCCATGAACAAAGCCAATGTACAGTGGAGTTTTAGATGTGCCGATCTGACTATAGAATCAAAGCCTTGGCATTTTTAGTCCTTTTCGGGAATGCTTTCCTCTACTACATAGATCCTCTTTCTGGTCTGTACATATTCTGAGTACCAGAACCATATATTTCGTATAAGCTAAATACAGTTCCAAATATCAGTATATATCTGTTACTTCATATGGGAAAAAATGTCTGCTTTTGTTTACATTTGGCAAAAAAAGAGTTAATGCCTGATGATGAATCCTTTGTGCTAGGAAGCTCCTGGATTGTGCCATTATCACTGCCAGCCCAGGTGGAAAACTTCAGGTACTGTTTCTGTTTATAAGAAGAATCATTAAAAAGATCATTCTCTTCTTATGTGGCAGGTACATTTATATCTCTTTTACTGAAAGGTCTGGAAAGACATCCATGTTCTCACAGAAAACAGGCAGCTGCCTGTTTGTTTTCCAGGAAGAAATTTGAGAAGACAGATGAGAAGAATTACTAAATAACATGAAGTGCCAGTCTGAAACTGGCCAGGGACTCCTTCCTAACAGTAAAAGTCTCCTGATCCCTCCTCGCAGAGCACATGGAACAGTCGGTCACTGGTTTGCAGGTAAGACTCGGGTATTTCCTTCTTAGAAAAATGTTTGTGATTTAAAACTTCAGCATTAAATTATATACGTGCATTTCCCATAGAAAAGTCAAAGTGAAATTGTGGGGAAGCTGGCAGAAGACTCTGAAATTTAATTGACAGAACTTTTCAGTTTGTAAAGGAAATTGCCTAAAGCAGCCATTTATTTGCTTATTTAATTATCAATCTCCTTATATTTCATTAAATGAAAAGTTTCCCTGCAGCTATTGCTGCTCTTGTAATTTATTCAGAAACAGGGAAAGGAAAAAGAATGACAAGTCATGAAAAGGAAAAAAAGGTTGCTTGGTTGAAGCACACAGCAGAACAGAATAAAAACATGAAGGTATTAAGACTAGCAACGTGACTATTGGCAAACAGTGGCAAACAAAAAAACAGACTTTAAATATACATTGAAAACACACAAATCTGTACACAACAGGACCGGATATCCAAGACTACTTTTGCAAATACATAATTAAATATTATGCACAGTGAGTACTCTCACTTACTGTGTTCGGTGACTGCATCAGTGGAAGTACCAGGTACTTGAGAATTGGTTTCTTTATTCAAAACACGATGCCAGAGAAAGACTCATTGAATGGTCTGAAAGATGCTTAGATGCTCAGGAATGTTCACATCCAGTCTCACACTTTATCTTAGTGTCTGTACAAAGCCCTACTGAAATAAAGAAATCGTATGATACTTCAGATCCATCTAACTAAAGTGGGTCACAGGGCTAGTCCTTTATTATTATTATTATTTTTCCTGAAAGGGAAGAAGTAAGCATATTTGTTATCTACACATACAGTTTGCAAGACATCAAGCATACAAAACAAGAGTAACTGAAACAGCGTAATCTTTATGTTACATATACCATAAAAGCTACCTATTACATCTAATTTTTTTGCTCATGCAAATAATTCTGTTTATTTAAATGGACTAAAGACATATTGAGCTTTAACCAATATAAATACTTGTTTTGTATCCGGTTAATGTCTTCGTTAAATGCTTCCCCAAGTTATTCAGAATCTTCTAGATTTTTCTTCTTGGAGATATGGGAAGAGTAGGAGTGAGGAAAGCAATCAGGAATCAAAATCTTTGCATGCAAGTCTTACAGAACAAAATAGATTCAAAGTTCTTACTAAATGCTGGAGGGAATGTCAAAATACAGGCATACCTTTCAAAATTCTGAGTGTCCCCCATATCAAGTGATGCCTTGGAATATTTGGAAAGTGGAAACAAAACTTTTAGAAAAATACACTGTCAACAGTGCTTGTGGCAATGGTAGATAAATACCAAAAATCATCTCTGTGCAGTCCATTGAATGCAAATTAACAGGTGCATTGAAACATATTCAAGGTTTTCAGTAGTGATTTTCACAGAGATTAAAATAAAAATAAAGCACATCAAACTACCAAAACTAAATAAAACAACACAGGTACCAAGACTTGGTTTTCAGGACAGAGGTTTAAAGAATTACCCACTTATGTTCTTTGTTACAATTTAGTTTATGTATTCCTCACAATAGACATGTCTACATAAAACAGACATTTATTTGGAATCCTAATTATAGACAGTAGCTCCACTGAATAAATAAATGTCTTGGTCTTGCTATTTGATCAACAGGAGTTAACCTGCTCTGAGCTTTATTACCTTCTAAGACACCCTGTAATGAACAAAATTGTATACATGTTGGCTCATTTCCAAACTGGGGGCGTTGTTTTTCAAAACAAACACCAACTATAATGACTGAAGTATTAAAATCAGTATGAGGCTCCCTCCCTCCATGTAACTGATCTATGCTTCATGTAGAACTGGGGAAATTCCTTGATTCTAATCTTGAAGGAAAAAAATGCAGTCTAAAATATTTTTATATATCCAACACACAATTTTTATTACAGACAACTGTGTTTCTACCTAATTCTCTCAACCTCACTATATAGTCCATTGAGTTTAAATCAACTCATGTAATATTTTAAAGCCTTTCTGTATGAAAGGCATACAGAATGGGAATCTTGCATACAGAAGTGGGAATCGGGGATCAGACTGGGTCCTTTTAAGAAACAAAACACTTGGGAGTTTCATGTTTCAGACCAGGTGCTTGAAAAATTGCCTCCCTATATGCCAACTATATTTTTTTTCTTTCACTCTCACAGGCCTTTTCCAAGCTTAAAAATAAGCAGAAAAACACGTACAGACTGCTCAATATTCTTAAACTTATCAGTTGCAGGACTTTGATTACCTGTTTGGTCCGGAGATGAATGTAGGTTACAGCCTTCTCCAGTCATATTCATCTGTTCTTAGATCTTTGCAAATAAAATTGTACTATTCTTGCAACCAAAACAGAGTTGGGAAGGGGAACAAATTTCCACCTCAGTCTGGCAGACAGAATTAGTTTAGTTTGTTAGTAAAGAAGGAAACTATATTTTCAGCCACCAGATAATTCAAGAAGTGTTAAGAAACTAACTTGATCTGTTTCTTCTCTGTTGAGTGTAATAGTTTGCCTGAACAAAGTGGCAGACCTACCTGCTCTCAGGTGACTACTGCATACTTTCAGAGCTGAGGTGAAACAGTATGCTGAGCTTACCATTATTCACCACAAGTTAAGGCTGTCTGCCTAGTTTGGTCTTAGGAGGACAAGAAACAGAAACTGAGGACCAAAGAAACAAGTTTTCTGCATGACTAAAAACAACCTGTGCCTTTTCTCTCTCAAAAACTGTCTGCAAATAATGAAGTTAGAGAACAATAGTAACTATTAGAATTTTATGTAGCTCGTAAAATAGCTGCTTCCTTCCAGCAACTGCCCAAACAGCAACATGGGAATTGTGTGGAAAAAACATCCTCTGGCTCATATGCCTGGCAGAATTGGCCGTATCCTCACCACTCAAGAGATTGTCTCTTCAAATGCTGGTCCACACTTTAGTGCACCCATGGAGGAGAAAGCGTGCTGACGGAGCCCATTGCACTGACAAAATGGTTCTGCTGGTGGCAATAGCAGAAGTGCTGTTGGTTCTGGGTTTGGCTGTGGAGTCAGACTCTCTCTGCTCACCCACAACCTTTTACAAGAACTGCTGGATCCGACGCTTCCCAGGTCTTCTGATTGACCTGCAGGAATCACAGAAAAGGGGAGCCCGGGTGCTGAAGATTTATGCAGAAGTCTCACCCCAGCAGTGCAGCAGAACCTGCTGCCTTCTGAGGAATGGTGAGTGTTTGTTATCAAGATCGTGGCATACATGAAAGTTTTCATCACAACATATGAGGAAAAACATTTTAGGTAATTTTTATATAAATATATTCCTTTAGTTGAAGAAGAAATAGTGAAAAGAAAAAAAAAAAGGGATATATGTTTTTTTTTTTTGAAGCAGGAAAGCAGAGGCACATTGTAACTGTTCCCCCATATTTAGTCCCATAGAAAGGAATCTGACAATCTGAATTTTTTAGAAGACTACAATAAAAACATGAAAATCTTAGGGTCTGCTTTGAAATTTTAGATATCTGTTACAAAGCTTGTGGGCAATGCCAACGCTAAAACAATAACTTCAATATCCATCACCATCTACACCTGTAGAGAAAAATCAGTGACGCTGATTCCAATAGGACTTTTCTTCATGGAGTGTGGCACTAGACTAGGGCATGGTGAGGGGGAGACTGGAGGGAACACACAATTTATCCTTCTCTGAAATACAAGAATATTCATTTTCTTGGAGAGAGCACTCTCTTGTTCTGCGTTTACACTGTTTCTGGTGCAACTCAGGTATAATGTTAAGATGAACAATAAAGTTACAGCAATAAATAATAGCAGTTACTCAGCTGGTAACCCCTTTTCCCTAGCCTTGTAAACTCAGACTCAGAATAAAAATAAGAAAAATCCTTGTTTGTCTTAAGCCCAAAACTCTACTTTTCTCTGTATCACACTGCATTGGTACACTATTGGAGTGTATTTTAGAAGTGTACATGAAGTGTGTGTCTGTGGTGCCTAAATGTGACTGCAAAACTTGCAAGACTTGAAAGGGTTTTGAATACAGAGGATGAAAGTCGGGTACCAGTTACTAAAACCAGCCAACATAAATTTTGATGAAATTTTGACTTATGAACAAAAATATGACCTTGACAACCTGACACTGACATAACTAATGTAACTTCTGTCAGTATTCCTGGGAAGAGTCAACTTCTGTTTAAATATTGTGAGGAAACAACAATTACATATATTTCAGCAATGTTTTTCCTATTTTGACAACATTTTTTTTCTCATAGAACATGGGACTGGATACCTTCCAGAGAGAAGTAATGGTAACTCGGAACCTAGTTTTTGTATTGTTACACAGTCAAGCACAAATTTGTTATAGTCTTAACTAAAATAGAGACATGTCATTTAAAGACCCCCTTTAAATCAGCTTGTGTTTTCCTCATAATCCCAAAGAGACAGATGTAGCTACTACCACAGATGCCATTGCCAATAAATGTCCTAATTAAGATTTCAATAAATGTTGATAATAAGTTTGATAAGAGAATTTTCTTTACTGGATTCTCAGTAATAGCACAGTTTCTGAAAGTTAATCTTACAAGATAAAAAGAAATTTTGAAGTAATTTAAAAACAAGAAATAAAATATGCCATTTATATCTCCTCAAATCAATACAAAGTATCTCGTAGCATGCTTTTAAAATGTTTTTCCTGACCAAAGAACTATCTTTCCTTACAAAGAAATAGGGTCGTGACTTACTTAACTGATTTTATACAGTAGAATCCATCACAGATGCCAAAGAGAATATATCCACAGAAGCCAAGTTCTTCAGATGAGATATTTTTCCTATTATTTAATGATGTTTCCATAAAGTATGCAAAGTAATCATTAAAATTAAAACCAATTATAATTATTTTGTGCTAAACCCCAGATTTTCTAATGACAACAGAACTTTGCACAAACTTGGAAGACTGAAATAGTTTCAAAGATTTCACTCCCTTCAAATACATATATTTTCAGGTGGTTTATATATTCTTAAATAAGAAAACTTGCATAGTATTTATGTATCACACTGAAAAACAAACATGAAATTTACGATTAGCACAAAACATCCATTCTTTGATAAAAGTCAGAACACTCTATACCTGGATCTGAAGGCAAAGGGACATATTGCTACATGTGATACAAGTGAAGAACAGCTTTCTGTTGGAAGAAAAATCACCAATGTGAACAAATACCTGAAAACCGTGATCTTCAAACAATGACTTCAATAATACCATGTCATTAGTGTTTGCTGTGTTTAAGAAACCTTGAACAAAAGATATCACAGAAAAACAAGTACTACATAGAGATTTCACAGAAATATTTGAAGGGCTTTGTCTTTTAAACTGCTAACCTATGATAAAAATTATGCAAATTGTTTACTGATGCCTAGAAATATTTCTATATTCAGAATTATTTTCTTAAAAAAAGTCACTGGATTTTAAATTCCTTTATCTGTAGAAGCCAATATTTTTTTACATATCACCTGTAGAAATGCCTGTAGTCCTCAGGAAATATATCGGAATAATTATGTACTGGCTAAATATGTTTCTATAACACTACAAGATGTTTCTGACCTTTTAAAGAAAACTGTAAGTCAATTGGTATATAATAAAGCCAGAGCTTTCTATAATCCCTGTAAGATTATCATTCTATTTTCCACAAGTTATGTTCTTCTATTGTTTTGATAACCATAACCTTCTTTGCACCAGTCCTACTTTCATAAATACCTACTCTAAGCTCAAGTTCCTATGACACAGAATTGGAAGCTGATGAAGCCAAACTAGAGGTAGATATAGGAAATGAAAATTATTTCAGTGAAAGAAAAACTGCCGATTATTATCTTTGATTTAGTTTTGATGACAACTCATATCTTTACCTTGCTATCATTAGAGTTTAGGATCCCAGTTTTCTTTGTAAACATTACTGTTTTCACTTCAGCTAGGCAGACAACCTTGATCTTTGTTTGCAAGTAGCTAAACAACACAAGACAATATAAATTCTGTAATAGCACTTCTGCCATGGTTTTTTCTTCTGTAGACCTGCTGAATTTCTATTGTTCAGACAGAGTACATTTTCATTGCAAATTTTTGTTTAACTAGTCATACACCTTTTTTGATGCTTGTCTCTTAGGGCAGGTAAGTTCATTATGATGGGAAAAAAAAACCAAAACAAAACAAAAAAAAACAGAACATTTTCAAGGCATATGTTTACTCTGTTAAATCTATGATGCAGTATTAAGGCTACTAGATGAAAACATACAAATAATACAGAAAAGGTAGCAAGCTCAGGTTTAGTGTATTTTCTTCCCTTTCTCATTTGTAAATAGATTAGGGATTTTATTTTAGTTACACATAAAATAGAAAGAGTTGCATGACTTTTTCTGTTGTTCTTTGCAGAAGTATTACAAATTACTTTCATTACTTACAAATGTGAGAAAAATATTTGGAATAAATGCCTAAGTAAATAGAATACATCTATAAGCCCTGCCCTGCCAATACATCTTTAATTGCAGGTAGTCATATTACTTCAGGTATGGAGGTTACATTCAAGGCAAGTAAAATGAAATAAATAAAAACCTCAAAACTTCGTACAAGTAAACCAAAACCTAACACTGATCCTGCTCCAAGCACATTGATATCATAAAATAAAACCTTTTGACTGGAGGTTTTTATGTACTCTAAGACTGAAAAAAGAATCTTTCCTGCTTTTTATAGAGTAAGATTCTAACCATAAGTATTTTAGCATATATTTTCAATCTAAGTTTTATACCACTAGGATTTGCGCATCTATATACTTTTGAAAACTGGGTTTCAGTGACAAGTTGTTCAAGCATTTTTTTCATTATTACTTCAGTCCTGATTTCTGATGTGGGAAGATAAAACTGAACCTCCAAACACAAATGAAGAATTGTCTAAACTACTCTATTCACAGAAATCCAATAGCCCGAGGGCAAATGAGGAAAATGAACGGGAACGGCAGCGGGGCAAGATGTCACATACTTATTGTAGTTCAGGATGGCCTTTAGTAGTCTGGGTGAAATGAACGGTTGCAGTCCAGTTTCAAGTAGACAGGTATATTTACACAAGAGCAAACAACTCCAAGTTGTGTTCCTTGATAACTTTACTTTTAGAAATGGTCTACTCACTGCATCTGAGACGTGAAGGAAAGCAACTCGTAGGAGGACTACAAGCTAAAGCATATAATTTTATTTAATCAGAGACACATTTAGAAGCCAGATGGCTATTCTATTCCTTTTTTTCCTGATGTAAAATAATAATATAAGTAGTTCTACTTTTCTGACTAGATGCTTAGTTTGCATGATAATGAGAGAACCACAGATTTAAAGTACTGTGGAACTGTCCAGTATTAATGAACTTCTGATGTTAAATAACATAACAAAATGCAATGATCATTAGGCTAATAAGATCAATTTCATTCTTTTTTTTATTATAGTTTCCTGCAATCTAGCAGTGTTCTACCATGAAGCCATTCATGAGAATATGAATTGCCTGCACATGTCTTGCCCAGAATTGGAAAGCTGCATACTAAAGGCCAGAATCAATGTCATTTTGTACAACATCACAACAGGTAATTAAGTATTTTATTTATAAAGGCTGAAAACAGCAAATATAGGAAGTGTTAAAATTATACTCGGTCAGTTGCTATGCTAGAAGATCTTCTGAAGTAACATGTAATGCTAAAAAAGCATGACTGTTCTCCTTTTTCATTAATGTACCTACTCCTGAGAATAATTCCCCCCTTTCTTCCATTCAGTATGTGAGAAAGGACCATGAAGATACACTCTGCTCTCGAGATTCTCATGCTCTGAGTACCTGATCAATACTTTGATTGGGGAAAATACCACACCAGATCTGAGATGAGGGTGCCACTGCTCCATGTCCCCAGATCCAACCAGTAGCAAAGCTGAAAATATATTCCCATTAGGCACATGCACAAAGAGCACACATACATACCACACGTATACATATATCCACAGCCAGCCACACAAGTAACACAGACGAATGCACAAAGCACACACATGTATGCAGGTAGCACCAAGAACCTCATCCTGCTTTTTCTGTCTGCACAGGATGGAGATCTGCTAGTGAACATATACATATGTGTATATGTATATGCACACATATGTACAGTGTGAATCCCCCCAGCAGCTGGGCTCAGATGCTCAGTCTGGAGCCCAGTCTCCCCAGCTGCTGTCACCCAGATGTATGAGCTCCCAGTGGCACAGCCCCCCTCCTGTTGCTGGTGCAGACTTACACACACACACACACACACACACACACAGAGTAGCCTAGATCCCCGCCTTTCCTCACCTTTGGTTCCTTCCCTAAGCATCCCATAGTAAGTCCTCTGCAATCCCGAAATGCACTTCCCTTGCATCCCATAAGGTGTCCCATAACCCTAGGCAGTGACACCCCCGGTCCAGAAGGTGTTCATGGGTATTATTTGGGGTCCCTGACCTGCCATTTTCTCCATGTGCTCCTTTTGTGGGTGTGCAGATCAGCTTTTATCACATAAACTAACACTGTTCATGATTTAATAGGGATTGATCCAGATCTTCTTATTTTTGAAAAACTGACGTCCCAAAAGCCATATATTCACTCCTCACTGAGTAAATATGAAAGGCAAAACAGCACAAAGACCACTGAGTGGGAAAGATGCCAGCATCATAATGCCACGTCAAGTTCTCTTCTGCTCCAAGATCCATCTTCTACCCCTAGCCACAGCTTAACAGCGAACACTTACACCTCCAGCACAAGCCTGATGGTCCAAAAAACTGAAGCTACTACTTATTCCAGGGCAAAAACTTTTCCACCAGATGACCATTTTCCTAAGAGGACAAGCACAACGTCAGTAAGCACTAGGTCAATCACCACCTCAGACAAGAAGACTGTACACTCAACTTTGATATCCGAGTCTGCCGAGGGATTGTCCCACATGCCCACTCCTCCTCGTCCGAATGGCAGTAAGCAACACTTGAATGAAACCAAAGGCTACAGTGGTAGGAATTATACTTCAGATAACGAGGCACCTGCTTGGGAAGCTGCAGCCCTGGGTGTCTGGTTGATTCCTGTTGTTCTTTGCTCTTCTCTCATCCTCCTTTGCTGTTGTACTGTTGCTTTCACAGCAGGGTGCTGCAGCAATAGGAGAGGTCAGTATAAGCCCGTAAGGAGAAGAAGAACAATAATGTCGAGACAATTCATAAAATATACTACTGTCAAAGGTAATTTGTAAAATACTGTCACCATCCTTGTTTTGGAACAAATAGCTTTTTAAAAATTAATCATATATACCAGCTTATTTCTTTTACAGAACTAAAGATTTTTTTCTTCACTGATGGTCTCAGAATCTTTCTGTTGTCATTTAATTCTCAACAGATGAAATACAATTCCCCTGTCTCTTTAGGTAAGAAGTACACACACTCCCACTGCATGCTCAGAGGTGTTTGAGCACATTTTGGCTCATAATCTGGCCCAGACTAACGCCTAACAAATAGTATACGCTTTCCCTAATTTAAGAGAGCAGATTCACTGCATCTGTACGTATCCTTTCCCCTGACTTTGAACTAACCTGAGAAAAATAAATATAAGTGTAATCAGTAAAACGGACCGAAGTTTTATAGTATAATAAAATCATTTAACTCTAATCATCCTTTAATTGCCTCAGATCTGTTTCTATAAAAACTGTCAATTTTTCTCCAACGAACTTCTAGATTTACCTTTTTTCCCCACTTATCCCTAATACCAAGGCAAAACAATTTAGCTTACTCTTCTTCAAAGAAAAACAGCAAAAAGAACTTGTCCCCAAAACTACTGAATTCCATTAACTCATACCCAAACGTCTGATCATTCAACCTTTATGCTTTACTTTTACCCCACTTCTCACTTCACTCTTCTGATAGCAATCACTTAAAATGTTTCTCAAGCCCCTACAGAAGCACCTTCTGACTTAACTGCTTTTGTAAAGTTACTTGCTCTGCAATGCACTGACAAATCCATTCTGTTATTGGCTAAGGAAAACACAAATGCAGGTAACGTTTGTTCATGCCTTGCAATTAGCGTCAATCTGTGTCGTCCATCTTGACTTGTTTTTTCTTGCCTACTCATATCTGTCATTTACATCATTAGCTTTGTAGAATAGGGACAGTCACTTAAAGTATGTTGCCCAGGAATACACAAAATGTTTTGAAAGCTCCACAGATTAGCTTTATAATTAACCCCCCTTTTTAAATTTTCTCATCCTCTATACTCCATTCATTAAAGTGCTCCTCCTGAATATAAATCAAGTGACTAGATCAACAAGGTAGCAAGGTATTTCCTTGCCTTACCTTATTCAGGAAGTTTGCTTGGCAAAGCAAACATTTCCAGCAGCAACCAGGATTGTTCTTCCTCTTTTAAGCTTGTTGATACCTCAGATTTTCTCATTTTCTTCATTTGCTGTAAGAAATTTCTATTTCCCAGAGAAGTGTAAATGTTATAAAAGGAAACAATAAAAAATAAAGGTGATGGTCATATCTATGTGGCAAAAGATTATTTTAAAACTAGTAAGATTCATGCAAAGACTACAGTCATGAGGTTGTAAGGCCAAATGAATACCTAATTACAGTTGAGCAGGTTGATTACAGATGAAAAGACCTCTCTAAAATTATATTTTGGTCCACTTTGATCAGCACTGTAGCTTAGAAAACTGAAGTTTAAAAAAATGGTTGTTTATAGTATTTGATTGACCTTGTATGCTAATTTATATCTAATAGAAGACAGGATAAGAACATTTTAAAGGAGTGGGGTTATTTAATCAGTTGAAATAGCACAGAAGAAATTCCTTCCATTTTAGCTAACAAAAAAAATAGAATTAGGTATGATTTAAGGGCTGTTCTGTGCTTATATGTAAAGTGATACAAACTCTAGAGATGTACCCACTGCATGATGTACTTTACATTTGAACAAGCTTTTATCATCAAAGTGTACTTTCCTAATTCATCATGTGTCTGAATCTAGCACACAGTTTAACTATCACTAAAAATTTCAACTAAGAATGATGAGACCCCAAGTGGTCTTCTGAGTTAGAGGAAGCTGACGTGTATTCTTTTCCGGGTTTTTAACACCAAAAGGAAAGGAACTAGGAGAAAGGAAGCAAGATACTCTGTATTGTATCAAAGGATGAATGTGGAGATATTGTAAATAAAGAATGTATGTCTCATATGACGTGCGCATCACCTTGGGGTAATCTTCACGGATCTGACCCCGCAGTGGGAAAGTCTCAGGTCTGACTCATTTCATTAGGAAACAAAGGCATATGTATATCAGAGGAGGAACTCGGTTCCTCAACCTGTAGATTACAGAGATGTGCTTTATATCAGTCACAATATGCCCTTAGTGAAGCCACGCTGGCTGTCGCCAATCACCTCCTTATTTTCCATGTGCCTCAGCATAGTTTCCAGGAGGGTCTGCTCCATGATCTTGCCAGGCACAAAGGTGAGACAGGCTGGCCTGTGGTTCCCTGGGTCTTCCTTTTTAACATTTCTAGAAGTGAGGGTTATGTTTCCCCTTTTCCAGTCAGCAGGAACTTCATCAGACAACCACGACTTCTCAAATATGATGGACAGTAACTTAGCCACTTCATCCACCAGTTCCCTCGGGAACCACAGATACATCTCGTCAGGTCCCATGGACTTGTGCACCTTCAGCTTCCTCAGATGGTCTCAATTCTGATCTACTCCTACAGTGGGCGGCTTTATTCTCCCAGTCCTTGCCTTTGCCTTCTGCGACTTGGGCAGTGTGGCTGGAGCACTTGCCGGTGAAGACTGAGGCAAAAAAGTCATTGAATACCTCAGCCTTCTCCATATCCCTGGTAACCAGGCCTCCCATTTCCTTCCCAGACATGGCACATCCCCTCTAACTTCTTCCTGTACCATTAAGATATTACTGTTCTCGGATAAATATTATGCAATTCAACTGAAAACTGATATTGCAATACCTTCATTAAACAAGATTTGTACTAATTTCATTGACCCTGAGCCCTTAGTATCTGCTCTTACCCTGACTCTTCTTCCTGTTAAGGAAGCTGGGCTGCTATGTAAATGCCCCACAAAACGTGTGTTGACAGTCTGCAGTGCTCCAGACTCAACAGTGCTTGGCCTCTTCCAGCTTAACTCTTCCTTTGCTATAAATGATCCTCCATAGCAGCTTGATTCAAGAACAAAGAAGAAAAGCTAGTCTTAAGGGATGGATACTACTATTATGTATTTTTTTAAAAAAAAGGAAATCAACTACTGAAAAAGTGAAAACTTGCTATTCTTATACCAGGGATGTCATATACCTACAAATGAAAAGACTAGCAAAGAAATCTTCTCACTAGACAGGATACACTCCAACATGCCAGAAACACAAATCTCTGCAAGAAGGCATTAGTTTTACTAGAAAGAAGTCGTAAGTAATATACTACTTGCTTTCAAACAGATGGGTCTTTCACTTCCTTTTACTCTCAGAAAAGTAACTTCTGTCTGATCATTGAACAGTTGTGTGACCTGAAGCAAGCCACAGTCATCCCTGGTGTCCACGGTTTCTTCATCTCCAGATTAGTGACTGTACAGTGCCCTTAATAGCACCTTGATGCTCCTTTGATACTTACCTTCAATATTATTTTCTGTAGAATCATATAATGGAACTAGGACCTCAATACTCACCACAAAAGGAAAATGAAACAGAAGTGAAAACATATCTGTCCCATGCACAAATGCTTCTGGGGCATGATGGAATGACTAAGATCATGTTCTGGAGAATATTCTTGGCTTGTTGGCATATAGAGAAAAAATAGTCAGGAAAAGGATTATATAAAGCACAGTAGTAGGACTATTGTATTAGAGACTAGGAGTGTCACAAGAAAATAATACATAAATTCTTAAAAGTATGAGGGAAAACAAGAAATGGGTAGAAAGGTGATTTGTCCAGGCAGCACATCCCTTTTTAGGCAACTGTCTCTTTAACCCTTACTTGTGCTTGTAGCAACGCTATACATGAAAACAGGGCAAAAACCGTCAACTTCAGTCAGGAGTATAAATTAGTTCCCTGAAGACCATGAGATTATGTGTAGAGGTCTACCAACTCTTCACACACAGGCTGTCACATTTATGTCTTAGGGCTTGGTGAAGTTACAAGCAGTTGTAGCAACTACTTTCCTTGCCAAAGACTGAATTATGTCTCTGTACAGGCTGTCTTGTCTAATATGCGTAAGAGATTACGTTTAGTGTCCGACAGTCCTTCTTTAGAGGGCAAAAGTGAGATAGAGCATAAACAAACAACCACAAGAAACTATGTAGTGACACTTTGAACGTTTCACTTCACGTCCTAGCACAGTTTATTAAAGACATCTTATGCCAGTGATTATGGTAGTTTCTAGATGCAAAAAATTAGCCAGAATACTGACAAAGCAAGTTCTTTTCCAGTTTGACCAAGTGCTAGATCTCAACCTTTCTCTGGAATGTTTATATGGGAGATAAAAGAAAGGTTAGTCTCCTCAACAACACCAGTGAAACTATGCATCGCGACTATTCCAGATGGCCAAGAACTTAATTTGTGTGAGTTTTTTTTCCACTGGAAACAGCTTATTTTTCCTTGCCGTAAGGAACTTACTTTCCCAGTTTGCGGGGGCAAGTGTTTGGATTTGAAATGAGACATCTGCTACTTGGAGGTTAGAACAGTGACCACAAGGAAGCACATATAGTAGTCTTCCTGCTCAAGTTTCAATCTGCGATGGGCAGGGTTGCCTGAGGTCAGGGCTGTCATGAACTAGCTCCATGTTCCTCTTGGCCAGTAAATACCAGTAAGACAATTACCTGTGGAGACAGCCAATGCCTCTAGATATTATGGGTGGTTTTTTGTTCTTCCTTCCTTTTGAATTTATGCACTGGGGGGCCTAGCCTGCTCCTTGATTTAAGTGTTACCTATATACAGGTCTATCTAAAAGTAACATGAGCACTTCCATGTAACAAAATGTACGTACACACGGGTATGTATAGAGGGATACACACTTCAGACATGCATTTACATTTTAATGTATGTGATACATTAATAAGTGACCATTGCTAAGTATATATTTACTACTGTGGTGCAGAGTTGCTTAACCTATAAGTCTATTACTCTTTACCCCTTCACAGTTTCTAAACTTCAGTGCAGGTTTCCAATGAGATGGTCTGCAAGAGTATTATACAGGAAAATAAAGATGTGTAGTTTAGTTCATAAAAACACTTGATATATTATACATCATCGAGGTTGGGAAGACTCACTGGAGTTAAGATCCCAGTGTTCTAAGTGTTCTATGTAATGAGAGACAAATAGTGCCACCCTTAAACACAAACAGTTTGGAGGGAGAAGCAGAAAAACAGAAACATCCAAGATGACAAAGAGCTCAAAACACAATCTAGGCTACCTTTCATTCAGTCCATTGCATTACACAAGTTCTGCACTGTAAGATATAAACCATTAATAAAAATCACAAGTGTCACTCTGAATTTTATATTGCCTTTG